GAGAGAGAGAGAGAGAGAGAGAGAGAGAGAGAGAGAGAGAGAGAGAGGAGAGAGAGGAGAACGCGCTGCGCGAACGCGCGTATACCTGTCCACAACGCACCGAACAAGACGCCACAGTTCACAGTATCGGGTTCTCGAGATGAGCCACAATAGACGAGCGAAACTATCACAGCGCCCGACTCGGATAAACTGCGACGACGCCGACGACCACGCCTGATGGCCTGATGCAGCTGCCGCCTGCCGCAGACGCAAGGGGGGTGCGAGAAAGAGAGAGAACGAGAGAAGGAGAGAAACTTCGTACGGACGCCAATCACAATCGTCGATCGCTACGACGCGAGCGCCGTCGACTAATCGCGTGAACTAATCGGAGCGTCCGCCGCGGCAACACGAAACCAAATGGTATCAAGCGTCGATACTGCAACGCCGTGCCGGACTACCGCTTATACCTTCAACCCTTTGCAAAAGAGCTGTGATGCTGGAGTCGTCTGGTTTACCGACATTTCTTTGTCGTCATATAGCGTCATATTAATTTGACAGAATTAAAAATAGTTTTCCAGAATTGCAGTACATACATCAATGATTCAGGGAAACTCCAATTTGATATAGAAAACGAGAAAAAATTACGGAATTACAGATTTCCTTACCTACTTTTATCTTAATATGGCGTCTCAAGTTACAGCGATTGCTGTCAGCTCATCACAAGATGTGCTTCAAGCCCGGCCTACAATGAGTTGTATCGTAAGAGCCACCGCACAAGACTTTCGTATGATCTTGTAGCGTAACGTAACGTGAGCCAACGCACAAGAAACGTATCGATTAGAGCTTTCGCATAAGCTCTCGCATGGTAACGTAACGTAGATCAACGCACAAGAAACTTATAACGCCGTAACGGCCGTAACCAATACGTTTCTTGTGCGGTGGCTCCAAGACTCTCGTATGGTCACGTAGCGTAACATAACGTAAGCCAACGCACAAGAAACGTATTGGTTACTATCGTTACTAAACTTTTCGCATGGTAACGTAACGTAGATCAAGGCACAAGAAATGTATAACGCCGTAACGATCGTAACCAATACGTTTCTTGTGCGTTGGCTCACGTTACGTTGCGCTACGTGATTGTACGAGTCTTGTGCAGTGGCTCTAAGTTATAAGTGAATCGACAAATCAACGTAGAGTGTTGGTAAGATGACAACTCAGCAGTCGTTCTACTGAACGCGACCGTGGTCACAATCGCGTCGTAGCCCTGTCGTGAAGGCCGTATCACACTAGCGATTGCTGTTGGCGGTTGCGGTCGCTGTTGCTGTTGATGTCGTGCGTCGACCAATCAGAGCGCAAGTTGTTGATTATATATAATTATAATATAATCTTTTTTTCCCGGGTAGTTTTTGAAAAAATATACACTTAATTTATCAATGCTTTATTATCGAAGTTAAACAGTTTTTTTTATATATAATCTATCTATATATATAAAACAAAATGTCTGTACACTGAGAAAAAAATTTATTAAACACAAAAAAAATACATTTCTTTAAATGTGGTTGATTTAATTCTAAGAAATATTTATTATGATTAAAAAAATGGTTTTAAATTCAAAGACACATTTTTTAAAATACATAAAGTGATTTATTAAATCAAGCATTTTTGTTATTCAAAAAAAGATTTATTTGATTTAATAGGTTGTAACATAGAAACTAATAAGTGATTTGTTTAAAAGAAAAAAGTGCATTTTTTTTAATGTAAAAATTCTATTTAAAATAATATTTGTTTCTTTTAAAAATAAGCAAATAAAATACAAAAAAACTATTTTGTAAATTGGAACAAATTATTTATTTATTAAATTTATTTGTTTATTTAAAATAAAAAAATTTGTTAAATAAAAACTGCACTTTTTTAAATATAAAAATTATATTTAAAATAATATTTGTTTCTTTTAAAAATAAGCAAGATACAAAAAATTATTTTGTAAATTGGAACAAATCATTTATTTATTTGAAGTAATATCTCCCAAACAAATAATATATTATTTGGTTACAATAAATGTAATAAGCGTTTTCACCGCTAGGCGGCTGCTAAACTCGTAAGTCAAATTGGACCAGAGACCGTATATAAGAACCCCCGGCGAAAGCGTCTATCACTTGCAATTGTACATCATTGGAATCCATCACACCGGTCACTCGAGTGATGGAGATATGACAATTATTTATTATTTATTTATTTATATGTATATGTAGCAGTCAACCGACTACCACATATATGATATTCGTAATTGTTTGTTGTAAAAAAATATTTTCTTACTTCAAATACTTTCCATAAATATGAAACTAGTTCCAAATAAATTATTTTTTTTATATTATGAAATATTTACTTTCCTTAATACCTCCTTTTGTTACGTTAAAGATTAATTTATTTACATTAAATTATTTTCTTCAGTTAAAAAAATTAATTTTTTGTATACAAGATTTTCACAAACAACTTGTTCGATTTAAAAGAAATATTTATTTAAGTTGAGTAAATAATTCCTTTATTTTAGATATCCATTCTTCAAGTTTAATAATAAAAATTTTACGTAAATTAACTATTTCTTTACTTGTAACATTTGTTTTTTTGATTGTAATTGCTGAGTTTCTTTTTTAAATATTTATTTTTTTCCAAGTAAAAATCATTTCTTTAGAATAATAAAATTCATTAACTTCCTTTAAATAAATGTTTAGTTAGGAGTATTCAAGGAAATAACTTTTTGTCTCAAACACAATTTTTTTAATCTTAATAAATTTTTTTCTCAGTGTATGTATGTATGTATGTATGTTCTTTATACACTCTTAAACTATTCGAACATTTTTGTTAATAAATATTCCGCAAAAATATCTAATGATTTGCAAAAGTGTTAGAATTTTCTTAAAAATATGCGAAAAGACTTGTGAAAATTTGCGAACTCATAAGTTGCACGCAACACGTAGAGGAGACCGGGGCTAACTCGACACTATTTTTTCAAAGGCAATTTTTAATATTTGATTAAAATTT